ATATGATGTACCATTTTGCACTTCTCGTCGCAGTTAATACTTATCATGACTTTACCGCCAGACGCTTTTTGCAGTTCAAAATAAAAATGCGATTCGGCTTCTTTACACGCGATATTAATCGATAAGATCATAGATATCGTTGTAAATTCCATTTGGAAATGCAACTTCTTTCGCCGTAAACGCACCTTTCGTCCCCTCATTGGGTTTAACATCGACGAATCTGATCACATTTTCCTCATGACGTATGTGTAAAAAGCTACAGGGAAATTGAATCTCGGTTATCGCAACCTCCCATTGTCCGTGTAACACGATAGAGTGAGATAATTCTGTGATGAAGGACGAAGTTGTATTATCCGGAAAATGACGTATACTGCTGTTACTCGGAAGTACCAGAAGAAATTGTTCCTCCTCCATCGCGAAGAGAAATTAAACTCGAAGCCGGAATCCATCTATCAAACTTATTGGGATAACCGCGCCAACTAACAAGCACTTGTTTATTAGCTCCTCGTCCTCTACTCTTTGTCACGCGATCGACGATAAACTGTTCTTCCTCTACGTTTTTCTCAACTCGAGCTAATTCTTGCTCATAAAAAATACCGTCTATGACTTCGCCTGCTAAATCTCGCAGTTACGCGAGGGTTTCGCCAATCGAGAACACGGTAAATTTGAAATATCTCCTCGCTCCACTTAGCCTCGTATCCTTTCTCGAAGGCAGCGTTCGAGTAGTAATACAGGGAGGATTCTAACTCAAGTTTGTTCTTTTTTCCCGAACGCGCTAAGAAGGTAGATCACTACGCGCGACGCTGACCAATGAGCGTTGAGCGAGTAAGTATCAGCCAATGAGCGTCAAACGAGTAAAGTTTGTTCTTTTCCAAATCAAATTTACCAATATAATAAACGATTGTGATTGGTTGAGATCGTATTGGGTGGTGTATGCGCATGCGTTCACCGACCCATGCTCTGATTGGCCGTTGACACATCTAACCACGAAGACAGGGCAATTCAATAATACTGGTATTCACTCACCAGAAAATGATGCCCACCAGAAAACCAGCTGCTCCTCTCCTCTCCTCTTCCTCCTCCACTGATTATCCAGTCGTTTCCTCCTCCCCCCTTTTCACTTCTTCTTTGTTATCAGAGGGTTGCGTAATTCGCATACGCGGTTCCCTCATCGCTTCTCCATGATCTGTAGCTCTAAGAGCTCTAAGAAGTCTTCTTCTTCGCGTAATTTCTATACGCGATTCATCCTCACTAGCCACCTCCACCAAATCACCAATTTCGAGGAGCTGGTTAAATAAGTTAAGTTCAGAAACGTGTAACTGTTTAAGATTAATTAGAACAGTCCCATCATCTCGTTGAAAGAGCAGTCCGTCTAAGGAAGCCGAAGAGACAGCCTCCTCAACAGGCAGGACGCGAGCTTCCTCCTCCTCCTCCCCCCTTTTCACGTCTTCTTTGTAATCAGAGGGCTGTTGGTTGCTCATTGCACTATTAAACTATTAAACTATTATACACTAAAATTAAAATAATAATCGAAGTACTATATATATGTAATATCTAAAGCTGTTGGTTGCGCATTGCACTATTAAACTATTAAACTATTATACACTAAAATTAAAATAATAATCGAAGTACTATATATGTAATATCTAAATCTTCATGAGATTTAGAGAGTACATACATGATTCGCGTAAGAAAACGAAACGAATCCATGTGAGGACAATGCTATACTGACGCTGAGAGGCATTCTTCGCTACGACGAGAATGCTCGAGAGCTATCTGCGTGCAATCATTTGTATATAAAACAAGTTAATTCAAAAGTACCGCCACGATAAATTAACTGTGATATCATTTATATCATTACATGTCGCCATGAGAAGAGAATCATATTTTATAGCAGGCTGTTATTTATCTGAACAGAGTGTGATAATACGTCGAGACATAGGATAATGGGAGGGAATAAAGAAAGTACATGAGAGTAATGCGAACGAAAATTTTATTCATGTTTTATTACATCGAGAGTTTTTTCATACATACTAAAAATCAAAGCTATTATGCTCACAATCGATGAGCTGACGTTTGTAGAAGATATCGCTGTTGCATGTAGCGTTCACGACGTTGGAAAATCGCGTATACTTGGTATCAATTACATCACATCAATGAATGTAGCTAATAGCTCGAACGTTACATCGACACGTCAAGATCAAGCGTACAACGTAACGTCAAACCAATCATCATCATGTATATACTGTTAAAAATTCGAGACGTACAAGTATTATATTATATTATATTATATTTTGCTTTTTACAAAACAATAATTTATATTTCATCTTAAATGCAATTTCACAAACGCAGATGTATGAAACAAAATTTATTATACTTAGTGTAGTATAAGAAACTGTTAATAGCATTCGACATAACGTGACATGTCACGACATGTCCAGGCGATGACAACATCATCATTAATGTAATTTGATACGAAACGTCACGTGATCAGATTTTTTCATGAACATTCGATATAATAAGACATGTCGCAACACGTTCGTGCGATGACATCATCATCAATGTAATTTGATATGATATATCACGTGACCAGATTTTTTCACGGGTATTCAACATGGCATAACAAGTTATAACATATTTGAGCGGTGGCACCGAGCATGCGTGAAAATGGGGTTCCATCTAATAACACTGATATACGCAACTGTTATCATCATTGTGACGCCGCGCATGCGTGAAAAACGGGAATCGTCAATGTAATTTGATACAAATATCACGTGACCAAGTAAATAGTATAAAATGCATGATTGAGATGCATCGCGTCATTAGTCATTATTCATCTGATAACACAAGTGATAACATGGAGCGTGAATTGATAGAGCAAGCTGCCCTGCTTGGTACAAGAGAAAAGTACATCGCATGGGAACAGCGATGTGACAATTTCATAGAATCTGTGGAAGAGCAGAGTCGTGCTAAGCGTCCGCGATTATCAATCGGAAAGAGACAATCAGTGATCACATGTATCGCGAGGCTCGAGAGTTTGAAAGACACGGTGCGTGGGCGATTCGTGCATGTGGGTGCAGGATATGGACTTCGATGGCGCGAGATCGAAACAGCGTTTGAAAGTCGTATTCTGACAGGCGCGGTGATAAACTCTGGACACATAGAACCTCGCCAATTCCTCGAAAACGCGTGTGAAATTGTGCTCAAGCGTGTGCAAGACGCTATAGAGAAACATGGTAGTGTAAAAGTAAACACTGCGTTCAATGGTGAATTCGTGGCGGGTGATAAACATGCTATTAAGAGTATCACCACGAAAAACTTTGAACTGTATCAAGAGTCAAATGTGCATGAGTGGTACGATCGACACATCGTTGAGCCTACGTTGACGTCGCTCGATGAGTTCCAGGAACGCGACAGTGGGTGGGCGCTGTCGCGAATTCTCAACTTAATTGTTAACGTGAACAAGTTGAATCCCATGCACGCGGGATGTAACATCGAACTGCCGCGAGAAATTGTACTCAAGAAAGCGGTGATCAATGTGCATTCGACAGACAATGCGTGCTTCGCGTGGTCGGTAGTTGCAGCTCTGTACCCCGCAGAAAGAAATGCAGAACGGGTGTCATCGTATCCGCATTATTTATCAGTGTTAAACCTCACAGGCATCGAGTTTCCGATGAAATTAAAAAACATTCCGAAATTCGAGCGTTTAAACGACGTGTCAATAAATGTGTACGGCATTGAGAACAAAGAGATACTTCCTCTTCGGCTCACCGATGACAAGAAGGAGAAGCATGTCAATCTCCTGTACCTACAAAATCCACACAACGACAGCCTAGGCCACTTTATGTGGATCAAGAACCTGTCGCGCCTCGTGAGATCGCAAGTCACAGGAAAAAAGAATAGGATATATTTCTGCGATCGGTAAGTATACACGAGAAAAAAATTCTTTTTTGAAATATTAACAATAATAATAGTAATAAATTTATGCTTTTTTCAGATGTCTACATTACTTCAGCTCATGTGAAAAATTACAATCACACGAAGTGGACTGCGAGAAAATGAACGACTGCGCCATCCGACTACCTAGTGACGAGAACAAATGGCTCGAATTTGGAAACCATCGCAATCAGGAACGTGTGACGTTCGTCGTCTACGCCGACCTGGAATGCGTCCTGCGGAAGACGGAGCTCAACAAAGAAGATGCGTCGTCGTACGAGTATCAGCGGCATGAAGTATTCAGCATTGGATACTACGTGCGATGCTCGTACAA